AAAAAAAGTGTTAAAATCATACGAAGATTTTCTACAAAAAAAAGTGATAGCATTATATAATGATTTTCTATGTAAAAATCATCACCTTCTATGAGGATTTTCTACTTAAAAATGGCAAAATTATATCAGGAATATCTACAAAAAAGTGACAACATTCTATAAGGATTTTCTGCAGAAATGTGATAACATTCTACAATGACTTTCAAAAAAAAAGTGATAACATTTATGACAATTTTCTACAGAAAAGTGACAAAATTATATAAGGACTTTCTCTAAACGGTGATAAAATTCTGTGAGGATTTTCTGCAAAAGAGTGACAAAAGTTTCTGAGGATTTTCTACAAAATTCTACAAAAATATACAATAGAGGAAAACATCTTGCAAGGATTTATTACAGAAAAATGGCCATCAGAGGATATTACTTACAAGGATGTACAGTAAATGCTATAAGTATTATATTCATTCAAATTTTATGGCACTAGGATTTTCATGCACAAGTTTTCATGCATGGATTTTCATACAAAAACATTCATACAAGGATCTGCATACAAGGATTTGATCATAAACAGCGAAACTGCAAGATGGAACGCAATATTACATACAAGGATTTTCACACATAAAGCAGCTGTATTGAACACATATATGAAAGTGTCACATGAGTGCTGTAAGTTTTTGGCCCTGACGGTATATTCTGAAGCTAACCAGACCTAGTTTAGAGCAGCAGGTTGCTCAGGCCAATGGGGTCCCTCTACTTGGATCTGCTGCATGAGATGTATTAAATTGTCTTTAGGATGGCTGAATTGGTTCATGTTTTCCAAGCTATGGATGAATGATCCCTAAAGGGTCATTTAATCTCCGACTTTGCATTGGTCAGTTGTCAATTGATCCATGAGGATGAATGTGAAATGCATAAAGGCATGACACTGAGTGACCCTGATGGTATTGATCGCTTTCACACTGTGGCCATCACAGTCCAATCTGCATGTTGTAAAAGTGGGTCTTTTGTCTTCCTGTATCTCAACATCTCCATCACAATGAGGTTTACAAGTAGCAATTTCATTGGCTAAAATATACAACAAGGGGAGACAGTGAATTTGAAGTAAGCCGCATGCTGATTGGTAATAAAATCTTACTAGTATCTGGGTATAATTTTTTTGACATCATTTCATGAGATTTTATTTGTTGAAATGTAATAAGGTTTCAATCAGTATGCTTTAGCTTCTTTTTTTTTAAGTTTCAAAAATTTCTAAGTTTTCAAAATTCCATGGCTTCAGATTCTTTTGTAGCTTTTCAATTTAATTTCAAATGACTCAAACCTGACCTTACCATTTGTTAAAATTGGAATTTATCTTTTTTTTCCATCTAAAGTTGGACTTAAATATCTTTGAAAGTTAAACAGTATTATGTAATTTCTTACTCACCTTAATCTTCAAAAGATAAAGAGATTATCTTCTAGTTCACATAATATAGGTATGTATCAAAAAACCCAACATACTTGGAGAGTATTAATTAATTTCCTACTCAGGTTTATCTTCCAGTGATAGTACACTTTGTCCCCAGTTCAAATACTTTATTTTCAAGACATAATGATTGCTTTTTCTTAATGTCAGCAAACTTTAAAGTAAGATATATGATTTAAAACTATTTAATGTCAGAGAGAAAAAAAAGTGATTAAATGTATTTAAATGAATTAGTATTTTGCACTGAGGATACAGCAGGGAAGGAAAATGGGAAATTAATGCTTGCAATTTGCTTAAACCTCAAATCTTCATGGATCATTAAGCGCAGTGTGTTTGACTGTCTTGTTGCTATGGTAACTTGGTAGTTAGACTTGTACTAGTCCCAGTGATCTTTTGTATGTTTTTTGTGTACAGTGCTGGTATAACTGCCAATATTGAAAAGGTTGAGTTATTTTATTTGACAGAGGAAATAAAAGTTTGCATAGTTACAGCTGTGCCTGTAGTTATCACCTCATTTTCAACCAAATACACCACATTTGTCCTTAATGCACCCAATCTTTGTTTTCAATTTTCTGATTCATTTCCAATAATGTACGTGACGGTCAGTAATTATATCATATATTGAGTGTTTTTGGTGGGTTTTTTGCACATTGTACTTAATAGGTTGGACACTATATCATAATTATTCAGAGTAAAGATTCATAAGAAACTAAGCAAGTTCACCACATGAGATATTGTTCTCTGTATTATAATACTTCATAATCCATTTTTTGATGAGCATACAGATGAAAACCACATGCCCAGTATTGATTTGCACATTTTCTTTAGGAACATCACCCAGCTGCAACCTAGTTTTGTAAAATTATAAATTTAGTCCTGTCCTGTATCTGGTACTGCACAACCTCAAACAACGCCATAACCTCAAGTCTAATTAAAAGTCTTCTTGCATGTAAAAATTAAACATCAGATTATTTTTTTTATGTTTCTGACACTTGTTAGATTAACTATGATTTTTGTTCAAGGCGAACAAATTTGTTAATGATCATTTTGACTGGATTTTTTTCTGAATGTTTAAAAACAAATCAGGAAAATTTTCTATTTGATGGAGTAGATATTTATTTCAGTAGGCTATATGCCACCTTACACCCTATCCCTGTGAGTTGTAGAAGAGTTATCTCCCTTAGAAAGTTTTGAATGAATTTTGTTTAATCATCCAGAATTACATGAATTTTACTATTTTGTGTATTCTTGCGAAAATTTAAAATGCAATATTTTGTTAACAAAAATCTGAATTACTGTTAATAAAATATGTTTGACAGTTGTCTCAGAGTTCTTCTTGAAAGGAGACAAATGTCACACTTACATAGCTAATGTCTTCATTCATCATATATTTCTCTGAAGTACATATTTCATCCAATGCATGTTTAATGCTTAAATTATATAATATTTTAACTAAAAATTCTGTGAAATGCCACCATTTTTCTTCACATTTTATCATGGTTCCAATTGTCTTGCTTAACTATACACTTAGAAATGCATCTATCTCAAGTATATAATAAATTCTTTTTCACTTTTATAAATCTAGATATACATTCCAAGAAATATAATCAAGTCCTACTTATATAAAATATTTCAGCACTTAAAATCTCATACAATTGGATATGTGATATCATGATCTTATGAAATTCTTGAAATACCAATGAGTTGTATTAGTAAGAAACATGAGTAGCAAATTATTTAATGAAATAAACACATAACATTACTGAGTTCTTTTGAACAAATTGATTTTCAAGGACTTGACAGAACCACAATGTACTTATCTTTTAAGTGTTGATACTTCAGAAATTTCAGGAAAATTTGTATTTTGAAAGTATTTGCGACCTTGTGTATGGATATATACGACCTTGTAACCACGACATCTCTGGCCAGACTGGTGGGTTTAGCCATATTTAATTACCAGCCACTGTTTTTGCGTATGACCATCAAAATTGCATGTGTCTGTCTAAAGTGTGTAGAAAGTTGAGTGAAATATGTAGACTTTGGAAGATAAAGCTATGTTTATGTAGCTAGCCATCGGGCAGACGGACACTTGACAGATAGAATCTCTTTTATGGGAATAAAAACAGCCAATCAACTGATAGTTACCATGGTTATTGAAAATTTTGTATATCTTCTCTTTTGTAGAATGATAAAACATTGATAAACTTGTTCTGACGTCCTGTTTTGTTTATGTGCGGTATACATACATGGGGAATCGTATAAATATACCGGCAACAGGAGAATTGTCAGGGGATTACATTGTTGGCACTTCCTGTCAAAGATGATATACATACTTCCTGTCAAAGACAGAATTTTTATTGCCTGTACTGGCTGTCATATAACATTTGTTAATACTCATCAGTTTCTAACAAGGACAATTTCTCTTAGATACAAATCATTCGTAGATTTTCAAATACGTGTTATTCTTTCTTCCTTTCCTAGAGTTTGGTTCAATCTTTATATATCATATAAAGAGGTTTGGTCTAGCATTTGGGTCTGTGTGACCTTAGGTTGTTAGCTCTACCATTGGAGCTGAGTGACCTCACTGTATTGAGGGGTTGTTTGGTCTGGCGTTTGACCTATGTGACCTTGGGTTGTTAAGTCTACCATTTTGCACTGAGTGACCTCGCTGTATTGAGGGGTTGTTTGGTCTAGCGTTTGACCTATGTGACCTTGGGTTGTTAAGTCAACCATTTGGTGCTGAGTGACCTCACTGTATTGAGGGGTTGTTTGGTCTAGGATTTGACCCTATGTGACCTTGGGTTGTTAAGTCTACCATTTGGCGCTGAGTGACCTCACTGTATTGAGGGGTTGTTTGGTCTAGCATTTGACCCTATGTGACCTTGGATTGTTAGGGCTGAGTGACCTCACTGTATTGAGGGGTTGTTTGGTCTAGCATTTGACCCTATGTGACATTGGGGTGTTAGGTCTACCATTTGGTGCTGAGTGACCTCACTGTATTGAGGGGTTGTTTGTTCTAGCATTTGACCCTATGTGACTTTGGGTTGTTAGGTCTACCATTTGACCCTATGTGATCTTGGGTTGATAGGTCTAGCATTTGACCCTATGTGACCTTCGGTTATTAAGTCTACCATTTGACCCTATGTGACCTTGGGTTGTTAGGGCTACCATTTGACCCTATATGACCTTGGGTTGTAAGGTACCATTTGACTCTATGTGACCTTGGGTTGTTAGGTCTACCATTTGACCCTATGTGACCTTGGGTTGTTAGGTCTACCATTTGACCCTATGTGACCTTGAGTTGTTAAGTCTACCATTTGGCGCTGAGTGACCTCACTGTATTGGGGGGTTGTTTGGTCTAGCATTTGACCCTATGTGACCTTGGGTCGTTAAGTCTACCATTTGGCGCTGACTGACCTCACTATTTGGGAGTTGTTTGGTCTAGCATTTGACCCTTTGTGACCTTTGATTGGTAAGGTATACTGTATTGACATTTGTGACATTTAGGTTTTTGTAGACAAGAAAATATTAAATAAATAGATATGTATATAGCTTTTGATTTTGTACAGTATTTTCATGTGTTCTTTTTGTATACTTACAGGTGATAGAACAAGGTGAAAATGCGTGGAAGGGTGTGGTAATTAGTGATAATAGGAGGATGTCGAAGCCGGGATATTTCCCGCCCGAAAATGTTGTCCTCATAGATAGTTCAGGTACGCTACCATTTCACTTTGAATAATGCTTTTCCTTGTATTATCAGTAAACTTACACAATTCTATTAAAAATATTTGGTGCATATTCTTTCAAGACTTCTGAAAGATATTGTCATCTGATTATAGGGTTGCATTGGAAAACATGTGTAATACCATAAAGAAGATCTTTTGACCATTTGAAAAAAAAAAAACTTCCAATGAAAATAAAATTGTGTAAGAACAAATATTCTTTTTCTTTTGGTTATCCCAGTAGTTATACATGTTTAGTTGGCATGAGGCTTCTATATTTTAATTTTCATTAGATTTTGGTTTTGATTCTTTTTGTATAACCTTATGCATTATCATTTTGGTAGTGAAATTCCTATAAAAAAATCTAAATCAATACAGAAATCTGAAGCTAACAGATCAGTGATCTGTCTGGTATGATATTGGTGTGAGGGGGGGGGGGGGGGGNGCCTTTGGTTAGTTATCTGTATAAAATTCATGTTATATGTCCTACCTTTAGTTATTGCCGACTCGTTTACTGAAAAGATTTTGATCAATAAGCCTATTCTATATTTGCATTGCACTCAAATCAAAAATACCATTATAAATTAATCAATGGCCTCACTGTTTCCTTTCTCCCCTAACAATATCAGCTTCAACTGATGTCAATCCATGTCTAACCTATAATAGCTGGACAAACATATCAAATGCCTGTAATCAGAACTATTTTTATATTAAGTTTTGTATTATCTTTGGTTTTGCATGCAGTAATTTTGTTGACTTATTTCCTCAATTACTTTATGAATGACTACAGCTCATACACTGAAACGAGGCCGACGAGCTCCTAGTCTTCCCAGCATGCAGCAAGTTCCGGACCTTCTTAATCGCAGTCCAGGACATTACAATTACTCAAACCATGATGTTAACCACTACGGCAGTGTAGGGGCAGACGACTCCTTCCCTCCACCCCCCTCATCCCTTGTGTCCTGTATATCTCCCAACAAAGGTATGACATTTCCCCTCACCCCCTGTTTCTGAATATCTCCCAACAAAGGTATGACATGTCCCCTCACCTCCTGTCTCTGAATATCTCCTAACAAAGGTATGACATGTCCCCTCACCTACTGTCTCTGAATATCTCCTAACAAAGGTATGACATGTCCCCTCACCCCTTGTCACTGTATATCTCCTAACAAAGGTATGACATGTCCCCTCACCCCTTGTCACTGTATGTTAGATATATCTACACTTCACCCCCTGTCTCTGAATATCTCCCAACAAAGGTATGACATGTCCCCTCACCCCCTGTCTCTGAATATCTCCTAACAAAGGTATGACATGTCCCCTCACCCCCTGTCTCTGAATATCTCCTAACAAAGGTATGACATGTCCCCTCACCCCTTGTCACTGTATGTTAGATATATCTACACTTCACCCCCTGTCTCTGAATATCTCCCAACAAAGGTATGACATGTCCCCTCACCCCCTGTCTCTGAATATCTCCTAACAAAGGTATGACATGTCCCCTCACCCCCTGTCTCTGAATATCTCCTAACAAAGGTATGACATGTCCCCTCACCCCTTGTCACTGTATGTTAGATATATCTACACTTCACCCCCTGTCTCTGAATATCTCCCAACAAAGGTATGACATGTCCCCTCACCCCCTGTCTCTGAATATCTCCTAACAAAGGTATGACATGTCCCCTCACCCCTTGTCACTGTATATTAGATATATCATCACCTCACCCCCTGTCTCTGAATATCTCCTAACAAAGGTATGACATGTCCCCTCACCCCTTGTCACTGTATATTAGATATATCAACACCTCACCCCCTGTCTCTGAATATCTCCTAACAAAGGTATGACATGTCCCCTCACCTCCTGTCTCTGAATATCTCCTAACAAAGGTATGACATGTCCCCTCACCCCTTGTCACTGTATATTATAAATATCAACACCTCACCCCCTGTCTCTGAATATCTCCTAACAAAGGTATGACATGTCCCCTCACCTCCTGTCTCTGAATATCTCCTAACAAAGGTATGACATGTCTCCTTACCCCTTGTCACTGTATATTAGATATATCTACACCTCACCCCCTGTGTCTGAATATCTCTTCACAAAGGTATGTCATTCCCCTCACCCCTTGTCACTGTAAATGAGATATATCTACACCTCACCCCTGTCTCTGAATATCTCCTAACAAAGGTATGACATGTCACCTAACCTCCTGTCTCTGAATATCTCCTAACAAAGGTATGACATATCCCCTCATCCCCTGTCTCTGAATATCTTCTAACAAAGGTATGACATGTCCTCCACCCCCTGTCTCTGAATATTAAATATATCTACACCTCACCCCCTGTCTCTGAATATCTCCTAGCAAAGGTATGATATGTCACCTCACCTCCTGTCTCTGAATATCTTCTAAAAAAATTATGTCATGTCCCCTCACCTCCTGTCTCTGAATATCTCCTAACAAAGGTATGGCATGTCCCCTCACCCCTTGTCACTGTATGTTAGATATATCTACACCTCACCCCCTGTCTCTGAATATCTCCCAACAAAGGTATGACATTTCCCCTCATCCCCTGTCTCTGAATATCTCCTAACAAAGGTATGACATTTCCCCTCACCCCCTGTCTCTGAATATCTCCTAACAAAGATATGACATGTCTCCTTACCCCTTGTCCCTGAATATCTCCTAACAAAGGTATAACATGTCCCCTCACCTCCTGTCTCTGAATATCTCCTGACAAAGATATGACATGTCTCCTTACCCCTTGTCCCTGAATATCTCCTAACAAAGGTATAACATGTCCCCTCACCTCCTGTCTCTGAATATCTCCTGACAAAGATATGACATGTCTCCTTACCCCTTGTCCCTGAATATCTCCTAACAAAGGTATAACATGTCCCCTCACCTCCTGTCTCTGAATATCTTCTAACAAAGGTATGACATGTCTCCTTACCCCTTGTCCCTGAATATCTCCTAACAAAGGTATGACATCTCCCCTCACCCCTTGTCACTGTATATTAGATACATCAACACCTCACCCCCTGTCTCTGAATATATCCTAGCAAAGGTATGACATGTCCCCTCCCCCCTTGTCCCTGTATATTAGATATATCAACACCTCACCCCCTGTCTCTGACTATCTTGTCACTGTATGTTAGATATATCTACACCTCCCCCCCTGTCTCTGAATATATATATTGGCCCCTATATACCCCTCAACAAAGGCATTTTAAAGCTACACCTATCCCCTTGTTTCTGTATATCTCATAACAGTGTAATGATAACTACACCTATCACCTTGTTTCTGTATATCTCCTAACAAAGGTATAACATGTCCCCTCACCTCCTGTCTCTGAATATCTCCTAGCAAAGGTATGACATGTCACCTAACCTCCTGTCTCTGAATATCTCCTCACAAAGGTATGACATGTCCCCTAACCCCCTGTCTCTGAATATCTCCTAACACAGGTATGACATGTCTCCTTACCCCTTGTCCCTGAATATCTCCTAACAAAGGTATGGCATGTCCCCTCACCCCTTGTCACTGTATATTAGATACATCAACACCTCACCCCCTGTCTCTGACTATCTTGTCACTGTATGTTAGATATATATACACCTCACCCCCTGTCTCTGAATATATATATTGGCCCCTATATACCCCTCAACAAAGGCATTTTAAAGCTACACCTATCCCCTTGTTTCTGTATATCTCCTAACAAAGGTATAATATGTCCACCCATGAGCATTAATCAATTCTGTCACACTTAGCTATGTGTGTAGTGGTGCTAGCCAACATCACAAGAGTAGAATTACCCCAAATCAATAGACTGGACCCAACTTTTCCTGCCAGTTGGCAAATATTGTCTGGAATAATACAGTTTGGTTTGGTTTCAGCATTATTTTAGGCTTGAACACCTAGGTGAAAAATCTGAGAAGGGAGACAACTCCAATTTACCATCTATTCATGAGTTTATATCTTCTGCAAAATATTATTGCATAGATATTTTCTACATGGATTTTATTTGTATAGATAAAGTGATCAACAGTGCTGAATAGTATTTGTTGATTCTTGAATTTGCGGCTTTATGTTTTAAAAAAAAAACAGTTAATGTTTGCAGTTCGTTGGTACAGTGTATATGTCCTACATTTAAAAAAAAAGTAGGTCAGATTATGCATGTTTATGTTTAGATTGAATATAATTTAAATGTTGGTGATTGAAGAATGATTTTTTTTTGGTCAGTGTTAGAACAGGGGAGACAACTGGAGATAAAATCTGAACAATGTTAAAACTTAAACAGTGATATATCTCTCCTTAAAAATATCCCCTGGTTAAAAAATCAATGCTACTGTAGGAATGGAAATAGATTGATGTATGAGTTTCTGAGTTTTAATTATTTTGTAAGTGGTAAGACTGTCAGAAACCATCTATATCTTTGCATTTCTTAGACATCCCAAAGGAGATATATATACAAGCCCCAAGTTCTCCAAAATTGTCAGCTTTAAAAGTAGTTTATGCACTTTGCTTGTATTACATTTTTTCTCCACAACTTAAGCTTTTAAAGTATCATAATATTTGTTATCTTGAGAATATAGGTGCAATGAAAATTTTCTACATTTAAACAATTTTGGTGATAAAATGTACTTTTATTTCATGTGAAGCTGACAAATATTTAATCAACTTGATTGTGGGAGGCAAACCATGTTTTTATAATTGCTATGAATCATCACCATGTGAAAATTATATATGTCGTAGGTTTGTTTTACTATGATATAAAAAGTTTTGTGGTTTTTACGATTTTTGTGCATATTTGTGGTTAGGGCACTTGCATAAACATATTTAAAGTTTAGAAAAAAAGAAAAAAACTTTCATTATTTCATAGATTTGTGGGTTTGACACACTACTACATAATTATTTATTTTGAAGTTTTGATTATGAATCAATCATAAAGTGTATGGTCAGTGTTTGTGCATTAATCTGTGAAAATACCATGTTGGTACAGTTATAGTCATCATTCATACAGCGAAAAGTTTTGGAAACTTGTCAAATCCAACACAATAGCTTGGAAAAATGCGAGGTTTTGCAAGGATTTAAGGGTTTATTGTAAATTTATAACATATTATTTTTAGGGTTCTGTGAGGATTTGAGGGTTTATTGAAATTTAATGACAGTTTGATGAGGATCTCGCTGTGGGTATATACTGTACGTCCAGGACAGGATTTGAGGGTTTGATGAGGATCTCGCTGTGGATGAGGATCTCGCTGTGGGTATATACTGTACGTCCAGGACAGTTGATGGGGAAAGTGCTGTGGGTATAACTGTACGTCCAGGACAAGATTTGAAGGTTTGATGGGGAAAGTGCTTTGGGTATAACTGTACGTCTAGGACAGGATTTGAGGGTTTGATGGGGAAAGTGCTGTGGGTATAACTGTACGTCCAGGACAAGATTTGAGGGTTTGATGGGGAAAGTGCTTTGGGTATAACTGTACTTCCAGGACAGGATTTGAGGGTTTGATGAGTGTGGCGCTGTGGGTATATATACTGTACGTCCAGGACAGGATATGAGGGTTTGATGAGGTAAGTGCTGTGGGTATATACTGTACATCCAGGACAGGGTTTGAGGGTTTGATGGGGAAAGTGCTTTGGGTATACCTGTACTTCGAGGACAGGATTTGAGGTTTTGATAAGTGTGTCGCTATGGGTATATACTGTACGTCCAGGACAGGATATGCGGGTTTGATGAGTGTGTCGCTGTGGGTGTATATACTGTACGTCCAGGACAGGATATGCGGGTTTGATGAGTGTGTCGCTGTGGGTGTATATACTGTACGTCCAGGACAGGATATGCGGGTTTGATGAGTGTGTCGCTGTGGGTATATGATGAGTGTGTCGCTGTGGGTATATATTCTGTACGTCCAGGACAGGATTTGAGGGTTTGATTGGGAAAGTGCTGTGGGTATATTCTGTACATCTAGGACAGGA